ACCATCCAGCTCTTTTTTATCTTATAAAATTGACACTCTGTCCTTTTGAAGCAATAAATCCCCATTGATTGCTTTAGCTACCTCATGTGGGTGGAATCACACAATATTTGTCTTTCTGTGTCTGGCATATTTAACTTAGCATAGTGGCTTCAGGGGTTACCCATGAAGCATATAACAGGATTTCCTTTCTTTTTTAAAGTTTGAGTAATATTACATTGTATCATATGCCACATTTTGTTTTTCCATTCATCTGGTGATAGATACTTGGGTTGTTTCCACCCTGTCATGAGTGATGCCGCTCTAAACGTGCGTGTGCAGATCTTGGCCATTTTTAATCCATTTACAATGGAGTGGACTAAGATGGGAATAAGAAAAATCCTAGTGAAAACACTACCAGTCTCAGCCTCAAGGGGGCAATTGGGATTGAGGGGGCCTGGGGTGAGAGGGGAATGTGGGATATTGGATATATTGATATGGGGCTGATCTGAATGGGCAACGCCATCACTACTGGCAGACGATGGTGCTATGGGAATGAGAGCTAGAGTTTCCCCACTCGCTATTCCAATAGAAATAGGTATTATAGATTTTTGTTTAAAATTTCCCAATTTTTAGATGTTGTACTCTAAACGTGAAAAAAAATTTAAAAGACCACAAGTCAAATAAAATGCCTACCAGCTGTATAATTTGAGATCTCTTACTAAAGCACACTGATCAATAAAGATATGTAAATGATTGATATAAGGGCCTTATCTGTTCCAAAAGTGGAGATGAGAAAGAATTTGTGATCATTTATTATTTATTTTTATTAATTAATGTGACTACTCAACTACTCTGCCATTATAGTCCCAAAGTAGCCAGAGATAGTATGTAAATGAATGGATGTGGCTGTGTCCCAATATATATATATTTACAAAAGCATGTGGCCTGCCTTCCATAGTTTGCCTACCCCAGGTGTGGATGAATTAGAGAGGAGGGACATCTGAAGAGAGTTTCAAACTATAATTCAAAAAATAATTACAAAGGACTGGTGGATGATAGGAGGGATTGATTAAATATAGTACATTTAAAACGTTATGCAACTATTTAGAAAAGAATGAGTTAGACCTTTTTGTTCAGCAGCAAATGGCATTTTAAAAAATGGCAGCCCTTTGACATGCCACTTCTCCTGTTAAGATAGGATCTGTTCTCTTTGCCATTGAAATTGTGTTTTTGTGCCTGTCATGGCCAACATTATAACAGAAGTAATCCTATGTGAAATTTTGAGGCTGGGGCATACAACAGTGACCACCTTTCTGTTGGGAACACTACCATGTGATCAATGAACCTCTAGCTTCTACATAATCATTCTGAGGGAGCCCCTCAAATGAGTGAGCCTACACTCAACACATTCAGAAGGATCACATAGAGGGGCCCTGGGATAAGATAAAATCCATGCCAGCCATCTCATTTTCATAACTCCAGCCACCATTTGACTGTGAAAGAGCCAGGTCCCAACCTAGTCCTTCTGGAATCTGTGACCCACAGAAACCATGTGAGAAAATATTAATTGCTATTGTTTGAAGTCACCATTTCAGAGTGATTTGTTATGCCTAGTGAGATAACTGGAACATTGGTGAAGAAAGATGAACAAACTACTCTATTATCAGATGAAATTAAAACAAACGACTACAGTATCTTTATGGAAAGATATACCCCAAACTGTTAAATACTGCCTCTGGGGAATGGAAATGTGGATCCCAGGTGGGTGGGAGATGCATACTTTTCATTTGACATTCAGTGTAATTTGAAGTTTTTACCATGTGTCTATGTGACTTGCTATTTTTTAAGAACTAGTTTAAATTTTAAATAAAGTGGAGAAGGATAAAGTTAAAATTTTCTTAGTTCACAGGATTTTTTTTAAGCTTCTGATTCCCATTAACTTTGCATCTGCAGAAATCAGAACTATGTGCAGTATATTTTTAGACTTTTCGCAAATTCATATGGGTGCAACCAAGGACTTTTTTTTTTTTTTTTTTTTTTGGTACACCAGCTCAGATTTAGAGATAAAAGAATATATTTAATCATGAATAATTTAGAAAGAAAATCTGCTTCCAGAAATAACACAAATCAAAGTCAACACTTCATCTCAATTCATGGTTTTAATTCATTCACCTTAGGCCCCTTTTTTTGAAAGATCATGAGATACAAATTTTAATTTAAAGAACGCAACAGGTTTTTAAGCTATGAAGATCATTATCATTGTCATCCCCAGTCTAATACCCATCATCTTTACTGAAATGTATTAAATGTTTTAATGACATCATTTAAAAGAAACATTTGGTTAATCTTAATGAACTCTTTTTTTAATTCAAATCACATCTGTGTAGAGAGACAGACTTTGTCCTAAAGAAACTGGAGTTTCATAAAAGAATGTTGTACAATCCAATTATTTCTGAATTGGGGAGTTATTTCCTAAATCCCAAAGTTTTATTCCACACTTTTGGCTTTGTCTTTAGTTCTGTGGATCTCAGAAGTGGATGTGATTCTAGTGACATATTCAAGCCTTCTCAATTTACAGATGAAAAACTATGCAAAGGTGATCACCTTGTTAAATTACGGTAAAACAGTGGTTCTCAAACTTGAGTATACATCAAGATCTCTTGGGCACCTTGTTAAAACACGGGTTGTGAAACCCATCCTCTGGGCTTCTGAATCTGTGGCTTGAGATGGAATCTGAGAATCTACCTTTCAATCCCTTTTCTGGGTTGATGCTGCTGCTGGTCTGGTGGCCACACTTCGAGAACCACTGTTTTGAAATCACTTTTGTCAGACCAAACTGGGGGATTTCTTTTCCTGTTTTAGCTAAACCGCTTTCAATAGGCTGTTTATTTATTTATTTATTTATTTATTTATTTATTTATTTATTTATTTTTAACCTGATCCTTACTTAGCTGTTCTCTATGTGTTATCTTCCCGAACTTTTCACACATGTACCCCAACATTTGTCCTAAGCTGTTCCAATTTTGTCTTTTCCTTCTCCAAGACTGGAAGTTCTGCCATAAACCAACACAGACACCAATGTTCCTGACATGCTCACATGGAGCTCCCCCACTGCTCTGTTCTTGCTTGTGATCTTGGCTGTTCCCCCACTGCTCTGTTCTTGCTTGCTTGCAGTTGGCCCTCCTGGGGGTATTTGAGTATATTCTCAGATCACTTTATGTGCATACCCACTTCTCTAATGCATCGTAGAAGACATCTCTTGAGCAATTTGTGGTTTGCTGGCTGACCATCCATGATTTTACTCAAAGGTTTCGAGTAACTTGTTTTAAATAGAGTAACCTTCTGTGGTGACCCTTTAGAACAGGTATATGATTGCCCTTCCTGTCACGGGGACAATACGCCTTGGTATCAACAGATTGTAACCTTGTATGTATTTTGAAAGTGAGCCTAGGCTTGTAAATAAAGCAGGTGAGGATTGAATTACTCAGATGTTGCCCAACAGCAGAGAGTCCAGTTCCATCAGAGTAAGCTGACTCCATTCAACATTTATTGAGGCCTGCTGTGTGTCACATACCAGGCTGAGATTGGAACACACAAGGGTGAGTAGGCCCGTTGACACAGAGCTGCCAGACAGCCTCACATAATGGTAGCAGGTGTGCACTTTGGAGCAAGTGGGATTCGGTTCAAGTCTCATCTCTATTACTTGTTGGTATGGACAAATATGTTCCCTCATTAAGCTTGAGTTTTTGCCATAAAAGCGAGGGTAAAACACCTCCTTTGCATGTCTGTCCCAAGACTATATAATGTCTTAGTCTGCTTGGGCTTACACAACTATAGACTGAATGTCTTACACAGCAGGAATTTGTTTTCTTATATTTCTGGAGACTGGAAATTTCAAGATCAAGGTCTAGGTCTAGCAGGGTTTCATCAATGGTGAGGGCTCTCATCATGGCTTGTAAATGGCCACTTCTTGCTGTTCACTTATATCATGGCCTTTTCTTGGTGTGTGCACTTGGAGAGAAAGAAAAAGAGGAAGGGAACCCAGAGCGTGTCTCCTTATAAGAGGCATCTTCTCCACTGTGTCCTCTTATATGAGCACTAATCCATCCTGAGGCTCTATCCTCATGACCTAATCTAACCTTGATTACCTCTCAAGAAGCCACCTCCAAATACCACCACATTAGGGATTAGGGCCTCAGCATATGAATTGAGGGCACCACCCAGTCAGCTCACATTTGTGAATTGCTCAGCCAGTTCCTGGGGTTAGAGAATCCCTCTTAGTAACACCTTTTCTCATGGATATTTCCTTCCTTCTTTGGGCTTCTGCTGCCAACTGTCTTAAGACATAGCACTATTGCAGAGACTAGAAAAAACAGTGAATAGTTTTACTGGGGTGGGGGTGGGGGTCCTTAAATTTGCATTGTTAGCAACTACTCTTATCAGAAGCTTTAGGGATAAATTTAATTAGCACAAACTTAGACTTTCTTTGTTCTGGGAAAATTCCCCAAAAACTCTCTTGAGTTTAGTATTGATTTTTATTTTATAATACCATAATTACAGTCCAGATAGGGAAGCCCTTGCAGATAGTGTCTCTAAATGGATATTGAAAGGAATTTGAAAATGTGAGAATCTTTAGGCATGTTCTGATGTTACAAGTGGGTGATCCTGTAAATGTGATCTCCAAGTTGATGAAAGTATTAAATATGTTACATATTTCTAAAATTCTGATAATTATTGATCTATTGAAGCAATGTGTCTTTTCTGTTAAGTTGGAAATCTTCACTATGTTCTCTTGTTCAGATTAGTTTAAAAGAGTTGCTTCTGTGTCGTGAATTGATTATTCAGTTAAGGTTGCTTTCACACGTTAAGGGAGTTAAAAATGGGGACATAGGGACAACACGAGAGAGAGGTGGGGGGGGGGAATCACATGCCAAAGGCTCTCAAATGCCTACATCTACCCCAAAATATTTTCATCATGTTTCCATGCATCAGGAAGAATCCTGTTGTTTTAATTTCAACAGAAAACCAAGCCCTTGATGACAGAATTCTCGGTGAAGTCCACCATTATTTCTCGTTACGCCTTCACTACAGTCTCCTGCAGGATGCTGAACAGGGCTTCTGAGGACCAGGATGCTGAGTTCCAGATGCAGATTCCAGCTTCAGCTTTCATCACCAACTTCACCATGTAGGTGGCATGCTGGCGAGAGATGGAGCTCTGTGTGGGGGTGGTCCAGATTTGTGTGTGGGAAGGATTCACATCCCATTAGATGGCGGCGTGTGGATCCGAGGGCTGATTCCCCTTCTTCTTTCCTTCTTTGGTTCCTTCCTGCCAACCTTCCCGACTGCCTTCATCTCTTCCATTCTCCTTTCCTTTCCTCCTTCCTTTTCTTCCTCTTCCTCTTTCTTTCCTATCCCTTTTCCCCTCCTGGTCCACTCTGGGCCAGGCTGTCTTAGGGGTGATTGATTTACTTCTAAAAAAAAAAAAAGACCATGTTGCTTGCTCCAGAAATTTCAGCCGGGAGAAATAGTCCATTAGCAAGTAAACAAATAGTCAGTGACATCATCTTGGGCAGTGGGGAGTGTTGTAGTATAAAGATGGCAAACAGGACTGAGAGGGGCTTCCTTAGGAAGGGAAATGAGGGAGGGAGGTGAGAGGGGCCATGGTTAGGTTGAGACCCGAGTGAGACAGTATGAAACCTCTGACATACTAGCTGAGGTTTTATTTTTCTGACTCAAGAGGTAAAAATTGGCAAAACAGGGGAAGCGTTGGGTTTAATTTTGGTGTGGGCAAGAATCGAGTTGGTGAATCTTCATGGACGTTTGAGCAGTTATGATTTTCTCCTGGAGAATCAGAGACACCCTGGGTTGGGTCTTTTGAAAATTGCCCTAGATTGAAATGAATGGTTTAAGGCTAGTGCCCTCGTCTGGAATGCATTTAATCTGCATATCTAAGAGGCAAATAAAAATATTTTCTAGGGTTGTCATGGTTCTGAGAACCATGTTTGAGTCTGTCTTGGAACTGCAAGCTGGTAACATAGCTGTCTCTCATGTTTCAGGATTATTGGAGAAAAGGTGTATCAGGGTGAAATTACAGAAAAAGAGAAGAAAAATGGTGATAGGGTAAAAGGGAAAAGGAATACAACCACAGAAGAAAATGAGTAAGTATTGTTTAATTAGGAATTAAAAATCTGGTTTTACAGTGTCACGTTTTCTACCCCTTGACCTATTTCTTGCTGTCTTCCAAATATTTTTTCTTTTTTTAATCGAATAAGTACATGTGATTAACAATATAGTAGATGAACATTGGTAATAAAAAAAGATAACTTTATTACACCGTTCCTTGGTTTTTACTTCCTAGAACATCTGCTTCTAATATTTCTGTGCTGAGTTTTCTTTGTAGTTACCTCCTAACTCTAAAGTGTACGATAGTGTTGCTTTTTCTTGATTTCTTAATAAAAATAAAGACACTATCTCCTGATTGTGAAGAAAGAGGATTTAGCAAATTTACAACAGTCCTACTTTCTCTTTGCGTTCAACATTTCCATATTATTATTTTATTTCTTCTTCCGCTGATGAAGTGTTTCTACTCCCCTAGACTTTCCCTCCTATCTTTATGTGGGGATTGACCCAAGGACCTCATGCATCCCAGGGGAGCACTGAGCTACATTCCTGTCCCTGTCACTGCTTCCTAAATGATGACATTCCTTTTCTTACCCTTCAGTTTACCTCTCCTTATTCATTTCTTGAACTCATCTTTTGTCACGTAATCATTGACTTGTTACATTTTCATTAATGTTATTAACGTTTAAATTCTGATCTATAATGATACTTGTATTCTTTGTAAACTTGAAAAACAAGTATTTATTGAAAATCAGCTATTTACTGAAAGCCAATAAATAGCCTTTGCCTTTCAATTACTATAACAATTACATTAACAGAAGAACAGCCTATCATACACTAATAAGATTACATTTTCCCCTCAACCAGACAAATGTGAAGGCCTCTGTTCCCTTTGCAGAGAAGTGATCTAAGTACCTAGATAAAATGGTCCAAACTTGTAAGCCTGATATTTTTTCTCATTAATAAAAGACACAGCTTTGAGAAAGTTAGTTCTTTAAAATTATAGACAGCCAGGCCTTTGTAGTCAGTTTGTAAGAATGGAACATCTTGCTCTGGTCTAAAAGACCTGAGTCATTTTGATACTGAAAGCAAATGAGGTTCAGAGCTTCAGATAAGGCATTTTCACATGCAGAATTCCACGTTTATCTTAAAGTACAGTTTCCAAGGACACAGAACTTTGGGTCTCCTTCTTAGTCCAGGCTGACGTTAACAGCCTTACAAGCACCCCTCCTTTGCTTGGTGCCTGTCCAAATTCGGCTTCACTGATTTTTTACCTACACTCTACCCTTCCCCCAATCCCATAATAACCCGGTTTCTGCCTTTGTTTGGTGAGATGCCTTGCAGTGCCTCTGGTATGTGGTCTGTCTTGCTGCAGCAAATTATTAAACCTCACTTTGTATTCTGCAGCTGCTTCCCAGGTTGTCTTTATCAAAATTGTTCAGAGTCACGCCACAGCTTACTTTAGTTGGATCTTAACATACAGGTTTCTGGGTTTTTTTTTTTTTTTTTTTTTTTTTTTTTCTGGAGTTTCTAATTGCCTTCCTCTTATGAGAGAGAACTTAATTTTGTTACTATTAATGTTGAGCAAGACACATAATTCATTTGAAATGAGGACAAAATGAATAGCCGTAACCAAGTTTATGGAAGCAATGACATCTACATCATCCAGAAGCCTGGCCAACAGCAATTGGAAGACATCATTGATTGGGAGGCATTCTGATTTCAGAGCCATTAAAACATGCTGTGAAAACATGGCTGTCTCCAGATCCATGGATATTGTTATTCCTTTGAAGCCTCATTACAAAACATTTACCCTGAAATCACTTTTCATTTTCTTGTGGGTTGGTTTTGTGATTTCTTGGATTCCATATTTTTTCTCTTTCTTGCTTTTTACCTTTACTTTGCTGACATATAATTCTGAAGTAACTTCCTCAGAATGGGTGTGTGAGGGATAGATTTTCTGAGCCTTCGTAATATTTTATAATATTGTATGGAATCAAAGTTCACAGTGATTTTCCTTTTGAACTCTGGGGTATTGCTTCAAGGCCTTCAACATCTAGTATCATTGCTGTTGTCTTTGGTGTGATCTAGTATCATTGCTTTTACATGTTTTCTTTTTTTTATTAGCTACACATGACATTACAATGATCTTGGCAATTCATACATTTGAATCATTGGGGTATAATTTCTCATTTTTCTGATTGTACAGATTGCAGAATCACACTGGTCATAAAGTCATCTATATACATACAGCAATCATGAAGTCTATTCTATTCTGCTGCCCTTCCTACCCCCCCTACTCCTCCCCTCCCCTCCCATCATTTTACATGTTTTCTTCATCTGGTAGTGTGATATTTTACCATAATGGGTTTAGCTATCAATCCTTTTCTGTTCATTCTGCCCAGTGTTCAGTGGAACTTTCTGTCTCTTTTCACCTCTGGGAAATAGGAGTACAAGAAGTCTATCGGCTTATTCATTCATTCATATATGAATTAGAATTATTTCCCCTCTATTTGGTCCCCTTTCTTAGTTTTATCCTATTGTGTCCTCTTGAACTCAAAGTCAGCAGTCTCTCTGAGATTATGCCAAACAAAATCTTTGTTTCTTTCCTTTAGTGAAGCCCCTTCCAGTATGTCCTGAGCTATAGAATTCTTACTCTATACTGAATCTCCCAAGTCTTCTGGAACCTTTCTGAAATATGTTATCTACTCACCCCTCCTGCTCTTCATCTTTTGGTGGCCAACCCACCATCTTGAATCAGAGAACCCTCACTCTGAGTACTGAAAGCATTTGGATTAGTTCGTATTTTTATAAACTTTGCAGTCCTTTATTTCGCCCTAAACACATCCACCAAACTTAATCAAAGTGAAAAAACTAATTATGAATTAATTTGTCCATCCTTGTAGAGAGAGCAGTGAAATTCACAACTTGACTCCAAAGCTCCTTCTTGTAGTGGTTTATCTACTCAAAGGTCCCCTTTCTCTTTGCCCTCTTAGGTTTGTCTCTGGTAGAGGTAGGAAAGGTCAGTTTTTGAATTCCCTTCTATTCAGTATTTGTTTGTCCTTGGTAACCTTCCTTTGGGCAGGTTTTCAACTTCTTTTAAGACTCATTTTTATTTTTCCAGTCTAAGGATTCACCCTGCTGTACCCACTGGTCTTCTTGGCATCCTGGTTAAAAGAGTATGGCGGGTGTCCTGAGGGAATTGAGGAAACCTGGCTTTTTCTACTCTGAACTCTACCTGTGGCCTCATTTTTCTTCCTGACAGAGAGAAGGGGGCTGATACGTTCAGAGCTTCTCTAGTGATTCCCAGCAAGGACAAAGCCATCTTCCTCCTGAGTTATGAAGAACTTCTGCAGAGAAGGCTTGGGAAGTATGAGCACGTCATCAGTGTGCGACCCCAGCAGCTGATTGGGAGACTGAATGTGGAAGTGAATGTTCTGGAGAGGTCAGGCATCACGTCCTTGGAGGTGCCCCCACTTCACAACAGCAGGCAGAAGGGCAGTGGGAGAGGGGAAGGTGAGTACCAATTGCTGGTTGTGCTCAGATCTTCTGGGTCAAGTCAGAGCTGCCACTAGGCACTACAGAAGTCTGTAGAAGGAATGGCACCCCTTCCTCAAAGGCTTGAATTTTTGTGGAAATTGGAAAGATAGCAACAAAACAAAGACAATGGCTGGTACATTTTATTTTTTAAGGATCTGGTCTCTATCAGTAAATTAAAAGATGTTTTAAGTATTTTTTTTTTGACACAATAATCCCACTCTTGGGAATCTATGCTAAGTAAAACATTTAAGATTTTATTGGGCATAATCACATGCAGCAATCTGTGTGGTAACATTTATTGTAGCAAAAACATTTCATCAGCCTAAATATTCAATGATAAGAAGATATTAGTATAATACGATGGTAATCACGATTCAGCATGTGATGGGAGAAAAGATAAAACTGTACGTATAAATTTATATGCGCCTCTGGGCATGGTGATGTGTGCCTTAACCCCAGAAACTCTGGAGGCTGAGGCAGGAGGATCATAAGTTCAAGGCCAGCCTCAGCAATTTATCGAGGTCCAAAGCAGCTTAGTGAGATCCTGTCACATCATCAAAAGGGCGGGGATATGGCTCAGTAGTAAAGTACCTCTGGGTTCAATCCCTAGCAACAAAAAAAAAAAAAAATATATATATATATATATATATATATATATATATATATATACATGCAAAATTGTGCATATTGTAAAATATGTTAGTTGTGTTAAATAAAAGTTGAATAGAAAGTTTTATAAAATAACAATAGTTTTATGTTAGGAACATGGGATTGTAGGGTTGTTTTTAAAAATCTATTATTAATCATTCAATTATGTTTTTTTTTTTTTTTACAATTAGATAATGAAAAATGTGTTCTGTAGGTGACAATTTCATTAGCAGGATCATTCAGTATAGGTTCTTCTCAAATTCTTATTTTTGAAAATGCATTTCATTTATTGAAAATATTATGAATCATTATTGTCTAATTTTAATCACTATTAATTACAACAAGTTAGCTTGTGTTAGATATTTACTTGCGTTGAGCTCTGTAGTTAATATATCAGTAAAGTTTATTGTCAAATTGGATGATGAGACAGATATATTTAAAAAATTTTAACAGATTTGGAATGACACGATTTCAGGCAATCGTGACATTGAAAATTGTGAATGACATTGGAAGGTAAGGAGAGAAATGACTAGATAAGTGGAATAAAAGAATATAGGCATTTAACATTTTTCAAAATTATTTAAGGCCTAGAGCTGGTATAAGGAAGAACAAACAGAAGGGAAGTATGTTCCCCACCCCAGCCCACAGTTTAAAGACTTTATATTGAGAAGTTGTTCACCCTCAGGGACTGCTTTCCCTGGCTCTGGGACACTCAGGTCCTTGTTGTGTGTTGACTCCAAACCCTGAACTTGATACCCACTGATACAGCAAAGCCATTGCCAGGGTCTCTGGCATTCAGAAATGGATTGAGATACAGCAGTCATTCTCATGTCATGTTGGTGGTAGTCATGTGGTTAGTGGATTTTAGCTCAGTTTTTGTCTACTCGTGAAAAAACTACGGCACCCCTGGAAGCCAGCTTGCACACCCATACAGTGGGCCATGGCAAGGTGCATTGTATGTACAGCCTCTGGTCCAGAGTAGAGCTTGGTAACTGTTCAGGATTGTTTTTGTTGTCATTATTATGATCACCTTATATTTACTATCATTCTCTGCACATCTCACCCCCCTGTTAAAGCTCATAGGTGGCTTTGAAGCAGGCCTGTGCATCTCCTTGAGGGATTTAACCCAGTGCCTTTTACATAGCACATCACTGAGTGTTCAAATCAGAGAAGAAAAACCAAACAAATAGCCAGGAATGTTTTGAAAATTCATTTCTCTAATCGTAACTTAGAGGGCCAAATGACAGAAACATTTTTTTTAGGGGAAAGACTACTCTCTGAGTTGGTAGGATCTTGTACAGGGAGTGGGGTATCTGAAGTGCTCTGGGTGACACAGGGTCAGTGAATGTGCCTGTAGGAGGTTCTGAGGGCAGCTGTGCTAGTCAGCAATGTGTGTGCTTTTGCCTAATTTTCTGAACCACCGTGATTTTTCATAGCTGTGTACATTTTGTAATGTATATGTATATGTGAGTACATGTTGTGTGCATGTGTGTGTACATATTGTGGTGCATATGTGTGTACATGTGTGTATAAATGTGGTGTGTGTATGAATGTGTTGTGGTGTAAATGTGCATGCATGTGTGTGTGTGTACATGTTGTGCTATTCGTACGTGTGTTATTCTTGGAGGGGGTAATGAATTGCAATTGTTGTTTAAAACATTGCTCACTGTTTACGTTCAGGCCCTGTTAGAATTCACAGGAGTTTTTCCAGACCATTGATCTCTTGGGATCTGTTTATTTATTTATTTATTTTTAAATTGTTTTTTTAGCTCTTCATACCCAGGCAGATACTTTGCCTTACAGAACGTGGTGGTTTCACAAGTGCATCTCAGAGCCAGGTGCAGTGGATTGATTCCCTTGTTGCTGTTCTTCATTCCCATCTTTTTGAGCTCAGCTGTTATTTTTCTTGCAAAATGGTAGCCCCAGCAGTGTGAAGCACAGGATGTTGTGATTTTTGTCTGGACAGTGTTGCATGTTTCCAAAAGAAATACAGGGTAGAGATCAAACTGGGGGTTGGGCCTGCACCAGATCACGAGCTGTAACTGTGTGAATGTGCTCCAAGGCAGAACATGACTCTGGTAGATCTGGCTGTGGTTAAGAAATCAGACTTCTGCAATTTGTCTAAGCTAACCTCTGACCAGTGGATCTGGCTTCATCTTGAAGGCTGCATCTGGATGGGGTTACTGTGTGTGGTACTAGACTAAGCACTTGGCATACATGTTAGCTCATTCTGTCTTTTTATAAGACCCTCTTAGATCAGGTTCTTTTAATCCTCACTTGATTTATGAAGAAACTAAGGATTGGCGTGGTCCAGCTATATGGACAGTGTCTCATACTTGATTATTAATGGAGACAGAATGTAAACAGATCCATCTGATTCCAAGTTCATGCCCTTAGCCATTGTACTGTACTATATTCTCACTGAACAGAATATTTTAAACTTCTGGGGCATGAATCCAAATTCCATATCTCTTCCCAGTTAAATTTAAACATTTTTTAAGGTTAAAAGCAAGATGATCGGGCTGGGATTGTGGCTCAGCAGTAGAGCACTCACCTACTATGTGTGAGGCCCTGGGTTTGATCCTCAGCACCACATAAAAATAAATAAAATTGTTGTGTCCAACTACAACTAAAAAATAAATATTAAAAAAAACAGCAAGATGATCTATCTTTGCCTCAGTTTCCTTGCTAGATGAATCAGAATTGGATCCACATCTATTGAATTATAAATTAACAAATCCTTTCTCAATGTAAAAGTTAATTGTGGAGATAATTTGGAAACTAAAACATTATAATTTCTAGATTATTAAAAGAGTTAATATATGTGTAAATTTTCACTATGACAGATCCATAATGACCAGTGGTTAGATAAATAAGTGAGAAGTAAGAGACCTTACCTGTTTTAGTCCTCATTTGGCTTTACATCAGTGACTCTCAAACTTGACTTTTTCTAATAGTAACCTCGAGAGGTTGAAAAATAAATCCAAATGGCCAAGCCCACCCCAGCTAGGTGAATTAGTGTTGTTGGTGCGGGGAGGGAGATAGTTTCTAGGGAGCTGTATTTTTAGGTTGCGATTCTGCTTTTACATGAATAACTTAAAAATTTATATGGACTTTAAAAATTTTTAGTGATTCATAAAGTAAAAGAATAATGCTGAATATTTTTCTGCCTCTCTGCAGGTATGGTTCTAATGACTCCATCCTTTATAGACCTTTATAACATTTGCCCATTTTAAGAGCAGGGTTCAGTGCTTTTTAGTACATTTGCAGGTGCATCAACAGGTATAAGGATACATGAAATGTGGAATATGGACATGAGGAATATTATCCAGGCATGAAAGAAAGGAAGCACAAATTTATGTTACAATATGGACCTTGAAAACATTATGCGAAGTGAAAGAAGCAGATTCAGAAGGTCACAGGCTGTACTATTCCAGTTATTTGAAATGTCCAGAGTAGGCAAATCCACACACACAAAAAGCAGATTGGTGGTTGCCAGGGCTGCGGGGAGGAAGGAATGAGGAATGAAAGCTTAATGGTTGTAGAATTTCTTTGGTGGTGGTAGAAATGTTCTGGAACTTAATAGAGGTGGTGAATGTACAATTTTATGAATATACTAAATGTCACCGAATTGTACACCTGAAAATGGTTATTTTTGTTGTTGTTGTTCTGTGAGCTTCAACTGAGTTTAAAGGAAAGGGTTGTATCCTAGATTGTGATACCTTCTCTCTCCATGCCCTGGAAGCCAGTTTCTTGTGCTCTTGGGCACTTAGCTGTGCGTCATTTACATGCCTGGGAAAGCAAATGATCAGAGTAGGTGGAACTTGATGTGTGGCTTGCATTTTAATCATATCACCCTGATGTACTCTGTCTATAAAATTTTGGCTTTCACATAATCCTTAACACCGAGAAAGCTTAATGAGCACAAAGGGAGGTACTGGCAACAGCTTCATTACTCTTTGTTGGAAGGTGAATGTAAAGACGCTACAGCTGTCCTGAAAAACAGGCCACATTCACCTGCAAGATCAAGTCACCACTGACCTGAGATGAACACAGTGTCTTGCACTTCATAGATGCCTAATGAGGAGTTGAATAGAATCTGTTTCAAACTTTTACTTATGTCTTTCTTTAATACCTTCACACCATGGCTCTGAGCTGTCAGGGCTCTTTGGGGGCTGTATCCTCAGACCCCTAAGATTGTCTCTGGGATACAGTAAGTGCTCAATAAACGTTTGTTCAATGAACCAAGGGCTAAATAATTATTGACAATGCAAGTGCTACTGGGTTTTCAACCCTTTCCTGGCTTACCTTGGTGAATTTTGCTTCAT